ATATATATATATATATATATATATATATATATATATATATATATTATATATGTGTATGCGATGAGAAAGTTTGCTGTAAAATGTTATTACGTCAAAGTAACTATATTTATATTAGGATATTGGGTATATGATATGTTATGTATATGTGTAATGTCGAGTGAACTACAAACCAATGAACCATGTGACCAATGAACTACAAACTCTCGAGTCGAGCGTCATTGACGGATATATGTATATTGTGTGTGAAATAAACATAACCACCGCACTATAATTAACTTGAATCAATACGATTGTTATTTTTATGAAGTTTTTAAAAAGTTTACGGGCCAGCAACGATTACGTTCGATTGTTGCAACAATGGCGGGGTGCACGGAGGACATGTTAAATAAATACATAACATTTACCCTACACCGTATTGTATTATGTTTGCGTTCCTTACACATAGTATAAGAAGTGATAGCTATTCGACACTCGCATACTTGTGATATTCCTATATTTACGATGCTTGTAGTTTTTATTTTTATTTTTAACTGCGGATCTATTTAAATTGTAATGTGAAATGATCAATCGAATTTTAAAAAGAAAATAGAAATGTGATGCCATAGCTTAATATTACAACTAGGTATCGGAATTCTTACCTATTTGGGTTTATAATTCGGTTAAAAAATAATACCGGTTTCATGAACTTTCCAGTGTTTTAAATGATAAAAATGGTTAGATGGCGGTTATTTGGAACAATTAATAAATTGCGGAACAAAAATGTTGTGGAACAATAGGAAACGATCCGATACATATTATCATTAATTAGATTAGGCCAAATTGTACACATCCAAACATCATATGGCTGATTTTAGAAATTCTGTCTTTTACTTCAATTGACTTTTTTCCTTCATAATGATTGTTGGAAAAAAAATTTTCTATTTATAAAAATGTTATCAATAAATTATTTTGTTTTGACGAATTATAATTTCGTCATAATACTCATAGAAAACAATTTTCGGTTGCTTGAACTCCGGCTTACCTCATGTTGTTCGTCTTGTGTTCATGTACGGATGATTTTTATTATTTTATTGAAATAAATAATAATAATTATTTTGTACATACTCCTTTACTTTTTAATCAAGTGATTTTTGAATTGAGTGGTAATAAAATAACTCCGAAAATATTATGTTGTTTCACTGAAAAATTGGAAAATAAATTCTATTTTAATAAAAAAGTAAAACCAAATAATGATTTTCACATACATTGTACCATATGTTTAAATAATTTTTTCCTGTTTCTTTTGGTAGAAAAACATATATAATTGGCCATATTAAAACAAATAAACATAAAAACGCAAAAGAAGCTGCATTTCAAATGAGGTTAGTGATTTTTTTTACGCCACTAAATGATAATGATGAACCACTAAAATTAGCTGCTAAAGAAGTGACTTCAGCATTTCATACCTGCATGCATAATCATAGTTTTAATTCTACGACATGCACTGCAAATCTCATACGTCAATTATTCGACGAAAGAAATTTTACATGCGCCAAAACTAAAACTCGTGACTTGATAACAAATAATTTAGTACCATATGCAATGGAAAATTCGATTGATGGCTTAAATAATACTAACTCTATTTCAATGTTAGTAGACGCTTACGTTGTAATATACTGCAGATTCGGAATATTTTGAACTTACCATGTGTTTTGCAAAATATAGTGTACGTTACTGAAATCATTATATTATGTTTATAAACTCTGCAATGACTTGGGATTACCATCAAAGACTAGTATCGTTTTAGTTGTCATGGAAAAAATCGGCCCAAATTAAACCTCAGCGTCTGAAAAAAAATTCCTGTACATAGTGGTGACCTGAATTTTTTTTTCGTGGGGGGAGGAAATTTATTTTTAAACAAAAAATTTAGTGGCCTTACAACAAATAAGACGTATTGCAAACTTTAATAGATTATTTATTTTTATTCGTTATTATTTTTAATATATTTATGAACAAAGAAAATGAAATAACGCGTAATAGTTCCGTTCGTCACTTAGTTTGATGGGTGATATATAGGTATATTTACACTCATGCGATTTCATAAAAATTTTCAATCCAACTTGCGTTTCTACGTTTAATTTCACATTCATCTAAAGCTTTATTGAATGCAATAGATGCATAGTTCATTCTGTTTTCACTAACGACGTCACAAATAAGTCGTCTTCCAGGTTGTTAACAAAACACTTGTCGGATTTACATATACTTCTCGGTGTTAGTGCAGCCAACTTAACTGTTGAAAAGACAAATTAAAAACGTAGGAAAAATTATTATGTGCAAGTCAATAATTAATTAAAAACTCGACATTTTTGGAATTATAGATGGTTTGCAATTATACGAGATATTTTACACGAAAGTCCAGAGCAAATGTTGACTCGATATTAAATATAATTGAACCAGAAATAGTAAGACAAAATATTCTTTTTAGAGAGACTGTTTCAACTGAAATTAAGTTGTTAACAACGATATGATATTTAGCTACAGAAGTGAAATGCTATATAAAAAGTACGGCATGTTTAATGGATTGCCACTGAACGCGGAAAATCTTGGGTTGTAGCCATTGAACTCGAAAGGGCTAACTTATTGCACATTTTTTCGTCCAACCTGTGGTGCACTATAATGCATCTAACGAACGAAAAAGCGCACGAATTTATACATGCCATATTAGAAACACTTACTAGCATAAGCAGTGCCGTGGTGATAGAGTAACGATTACAGATTTAAAATGGGAATCAGTAGATGGTCGTAATAATTATACCGTCCCTATCAACAATATTCTCTTGGAAATATTCAAATACGCTAAGATAATGTACAGCTATAAATCGATCAAAAATACACATCCCGTAAGAAACTAAAATTCTTCCCAAAGATTTCGGGATGGTTTTATTCCCCCCCTGCCACTTACCGTACAGCGCTCATGCCCCGCGGTCGAAGTTCGGAAGTGGACAAAAGTTGTGCGGTGTCAATCCTACGGAGTGCGTTACGATATTATTCCGAACAAACGAGCGCAGGACATCGGATCGGCTGGGGAAAGGGATCGGGAGACGACAGCGGAGAGAGCGCCTCGCGTGTGCGTTTTGTGTAGAGTTTTTTTTTTTTTTTGTTCACCCTTCGAAGGTGGGAATTAACACGGTAACCGTAGTCTGCGTATCGATCGGTCGACGACGGCAGCGGCGGCGGCGGCGGCGGACAGATGGACACGGACAGCAGACACGTCGGCACCGTCGCAGCGGCCTTACGCTCACCGAGCAGTCACGTAGCGGTGATAGATGTGTGCGTGCGTGTACACGTGTGTGTGCGTGTGTGACGGAGGCGACTCTAGCGCCAATCATCTTGTCACTGTCAGAATATAATCAACAAACCGCGGTCGCCCGTATAATACTCCCGCCGGTCGACCCTGTGCTTCCCGCCGGTCAACTTTCTGCTTCCCTTTGGGCGACGCCGAACACGGGTCTTTTTTTGTTTTCACATCGTTACAATGTTATTAAAAATCGAACGACAAGTGTTTCGTTTGAACTCCGTAACTTTTTTGTTGTTTTTTCAACCCGACTCCATTGCTTCTCGTTTCTCGTGATACCGTTATTTCCCGACTGCGAATAGCCGGTGTAGCTCTCTTCAGGTTAGTTGCACCATCCTTTCCGCGTCCGAAACGTACGATCACTGCCCCTCGCCCACCTCCCGTAATAGCTATAATATGTGTTTTGACAACAAATAATCATTGCGATTCCAACGTTTTATTTCACAAACAAATCGTACGCAATTTAAAAACGGCGATCTTTTCGGGAGTTCATCCCCCGTCAACATTTCCAAGGCTACCTTTCTAAAAAAAAAAAAAAAAAACTACTTTTTACATTTCATTGTACGATTCACTCGTACTTGTAAATATATTATTTAGAAATAAAAATTGTGTCACTACATTCCTTTTTTTCCTTTTTTTTTTTTTTGTACCATTTTGAACGTAGAACAATTAAATCACTTAAATTCTAAAACAATTCAAGGAGAATTACATTTATAGTTAGGAACGTAATATTATAATTGTAAACTAATAGTTTTAAATGTTTATATTTTAAACAAGTAACATATATATTTGCTATAATTAAATATAAAACCATAATCGATGATTAGAGTGAAATATTATTTTATTTTTCTTATAATTCACACATTGAGCACTCAAGGTATTTACATGTATTTCATCCTCGTATTAGTGTATAATTCGATTCGAATACGATTATATTTGACTAAAAAAAAGTGGGACAAACTCATATTAAATACACAGCTGCAGTTTTTCATTTTTAATCATTTATTAAAATCCTGGTTACGTGCATACGTTTTTGTAAAAAATTTCACTGAAAGTCCTTATTTCATGTATACTTATGTGATGCTATAGCAAAATAAAAAAATTAACTACCATTTTTAAGGGTTTCTTTTTGTATTTTTTTAATATTATTAATTTTTACCGTGCGAAATGCCTGAAAGGTACAACATATTTATTGTCTAATGGTTTGATCGCCGTTGGGCTTTTTATTGAAAAAATTAAGAAATTTTTTAAACGCAGCTATAGAAGAAGCAGGATTGAGCGCTATTCCCTTATAACCCCTCTCCCCCGTAAGGTTTTCATATCCAGATTGACCTTTACTATACTGTACGGCACAAATAGTTCGTATATAATATGTATTGTTCTTGTGGAGTGTATAAATATGAAAAGTCTACGTATGTAATATTGAAATTAATTAAGGTATACCTTTGCAGTTCAAGAGACGATTATGTAGTCGAATTTATAATTATGAAAAATATTTAACTAAGTAATTTGAGTAATAAATGCGCTAATTAATTTACTGGTAATATACTTTAATGAAACAATTACCTTTTTCGGTGTTCATTGTTGTTATCGATTATATTATTATTTTTTGACAAATAATGTAATTTAGATAAATCATATGTTAAAATTGTTCATACAATTGTCATTCAAGGGGAAAAAATCGAATTTTTTTTTTATTCATTTTCGTCTGACCCACACACACATATAGTGACGAACGGACATCGATTATATTTCATATGTACATGTGTGTAAACGCATACTTCTTGTACAGTGCTGTTAGAGAGCTTTTTTTTTTTTTTAATCATAAACAGTTGCTCACTGTAGACTATACCATTAAATTAATACGTAAGTTAACAACTTGATGGAATATTATACATTATTAAATATTCAGAGATGGAAAACAGTTTATGATCATGATTTTTTGCATTACCTTTGGAGATATATTATATTATAGCTTAGGGAATTTCAATAAAAATTACAAAAATATCGATTTCATTGTTCTCCGAGTACGCGACTTGCGCCGTCTCCGAAAAACCGTATCTTTCGGCGAAATATTTATACATCATCATACTTAGGACAGTGAAACAAATTCGGTTTTTAATTTTGTTTCGTTTCCCCGCAACTTTCCAAATAATGCGATTTATTTACGATAAACGTTATTGTTATAGTTTTAAATTACTATACTTGTAAAGATTAATATTTAAGTTATGTGTTCAACAATCTCGCAACAAGATAAATACACGTCAATGCGTATTGCGATGTTATTGCGTACGTCAGAATCCGATATCGCTTAATATAATGTATTGTATTTCTTCAATAGTTGAAAACGTGTACGCATAGGATATTATGTGAGGGTGAGTGAGCGCGCGTCTACGGATCGTAAGAAAAGTAATAGAAAAACCGACGGACACATTGGATTGTACACAGTCGGTCAGAAATGATTTTTTGTTTCGAACAAACCGAAATCAACGGCGTTGTATTTATGTGTTTGGACTGCGCGAAAACTTTTTCCCTCCTCCAATTATTTACGAGAAATATCGACGTCGCTAAAGTCGACTGAAACCGCCCCGCTATGTATTGTTAATCTGATCCGGGTTTGGTGTTGGGCACCAACATGTACTTTGCGAGAGTTCAACTAATCTATACTTATTTTATCTGATTTGGATGTAGTCGTATGACCAAAGACTTTGGGACGCCTCTCGAGATCCAAGTCTGTTCCACGGTAAGAGAAGACAATTGGTGTCCGATAAGACCGATCGTATTTTTATGTAATTAGCTATTGTTGGCAAGTAGTAGTTTTTCAATTCTGACAGGTCTGATACACAAAAAAAAAAAAAATTAAATATATAAACGTAAAACACGTATTTTTGCATAAGTACATTTCGATATATTTTCCGGTATCCCATAAATACAAAACGTATTATTAATTGCTTTCGTGTGTGTGTATGTGTGTGCTTTTATTTATATACGTAACCGGAATTATATAAATTATTATTATTATTAAATGTTTTAATTAAATAAGAATATTTTTTTTTTAAATAAAACCATAATGATGTAGTTCTTATTAGTTGTATTTTGTAGTATTAAACAATTTGAAGTTGTTTAATGTGGCCAAGTTATAAAACTATGATTATTTTTCTCCAAATATTTAATTTGTACTGGTAACTTATACACGAAATAACAATTTAAATATTGTAGTTTCGAGATTACTTACTTTGAACGTTTTTATTTTGTTCACAAGCTTGTGTAATATATGAACTCGTAATGAAGGATTGGCATCATAAGATGTTATGTACGCTATAGTTGATATTCAAGATACGTTTCGAAATGATTTCCTAGTCACTTTTCTAGAATTTCGATTTATCAAAAACATTAAATTAATAAAAGTTTTTTCAGCAGCACCAATTTTATTGGTAAAAATAACGCAAAACAACAATTATCTAGTGAATTATCATACGAGTACCATGATTCGATATCACAAGTGTGCGAAATAATCAAAATCGCGGTTGGTCCCGGTGGCCTGGGCATCCGTACGCATAATAATAATCGTAATTTACGCGTTTCGTCGTTCGCATCGTCTGTGCAGTTGGTGGCGTGCGTAGTGTGACGATGCGTTTATTTAAATAATAATTCAAAGCTACTGCGGTTACTGCGATGTACGAACAGAGGTGGATTTGGTGTTTTTTAGTGGGATGGAAAAGTTTTCGAAAAATTATAAAACGCATACATTTCTTATTTTTTTTTTTTAAAAAAGAACAAACATAATTGAATAAAACACACGGCTCTAAGTCATAACTGTACATTACGGTAAAGATTAACATGTCATCAATCAGTAGGTTTATTATATATTATTTATAATTGTGTTATTTGTAATTATTCTATTGTAACTGTTACAAAACCAACAGACGTCCTAGGAAAATCGGGTTACTGGGGGACCCAAGACTTTTCCATTTTTTACGAACCACCGCGAGCCATATATGAACGTGTGCATTTATCGGATTTAGGGGACGAGACGAGTCGAGGGTGTTGGCGGTCTTGCGTGGCATACCCTGCACAGCGATATACGTGTATTGTGCCACGCGGTCGTCGTGGTCTATCGCGAAACGTGTAGGCACTGGTGTGTCGACGACATCGACGCGACGCGCCCGCGTATACACCCCGACTAATCGATAAAATCTTTTTACGACACAAAAATACATGAAAAAAACCCACACACACACGTACGCTTTTGCGTAGATGCTTGTCGATTACGGTAGAACTGTAAGAACACACATGAGCGAGGAGGTGGTAAGACTATTTTATTTAATTGAATAGAGTTTTTTCGCGTTTTTTTTTTTTTTTTTTTTTGTTCGATGATGAATTTCGTTTGAACCTCTAGAAGAACACCGTCGCGTATACGTGTGCGGTTGAAAGGAACGGTCGGGTATGTGTGCATGTGTACGCTGTCACGTGAATGCTGACAGATACGTTGTTGAGGAACGCACGCACGGGTTCATGCGTGTGTGTGTGTGTGCGTGTGTTTGGGTACGTGTGTGTGTGCGTTCGTGTGTGCGAGAGAGAGTGAGAGAGAGCGAGAGAGAAAGAAACAGTCAGGGTTGAGGGGACAAGGTTTGTTTTGTGGAGGAAAAATTCGATTGCCGTCGGCTGCGAACAAAAGAGTCG